CTCCAGAGATACTTAAGCCTTGTGAAAGGACTTTGCTCCAATGATGGCTTTTGTTTTTATCTCCAGTAATGTTCCCCTCCTGTTGAGATTAGCCGAGTGTTGGGATATGCTATGATGTCTTATCATCTCCAGTTTATCCTGTCTGTTTTGTCAACATATACATGATATTCATTCATTCGTTCATACTTGCATCATGCACGCACATTTGTATTTGTTGATATCTTTGAGTTCGTATACCTTGGTTATGTCTATTCAAATAGCATATTTGATCTTTCCAAATAGAATGTCAACTTAAGCAGAAAGTGCGCCTCTTTTCTAATTCCCCACTGAGTTAACTCTCGTGGAAGAATCTTGGTTTAGCTTTCCTTTTCCATCTCTGGATAGGATAAATCCCCATTTGAGTTTGTTTCCTCCTTGGGTGGAGTCTTGTTTGACTGTTTTCTCCCCAGTTTATTCTTGGATTGAGCTTTGTCTCTTGTGAACGATACCTTGTGAATATCTCTAGGCTGTGAAACCTAGATGGAAAGTGCATTTATTTTGCAACGTAAATACTTGGTCTCCTCAAGAAGGATTTATTCATGGTTCCCCATTGAAGATGAACTTTATTCCCCAGTAGTGTTATTACAACCTTCTTCTGGAATATCGACATGACAACAAGTGACTGACTCTTTATTTGAGCAGTTTGATTATTTCTGATTTCTCTACGACAAATGGAGGTCTCTTCATGAGCAGTTTGTCCTTCCTCGATGAAATTATTGGTTCTCACCTCCAGCAATATCTTCACGATATTTTATGGGTATCTTTTTGGGGAACAGCAAGCGGCAGTCTCTTCATGAGGCAACTTGTGTGTTATGGATACTCTTGACAAACAGCAAGCGGCAGTCTCTTCATGGACAACTTGTATGTTATCAACACTTTTAAAAACAGCAAGCGGCAGTCTCTTCATGGACAACTTGTATGTTTAAAAACAGAAAGCGGCAGTCTCTTCATGGACAACTTGTATGTTATCAACACTTTCAAAATCAACAAGCGGCAGTCTCTTCATGGACAACTTGTATGTTATCAACACTTTCAAAAACAGCAAGCGGCAGTCTCTTCATGGACAACTTGTATGTTATCAACACTTTTAAAAACAGCAAGCGGCAGTCTCTTCATGGACAACTTGTATGTTTAAAAACAGCAAGCGACGGTCTCTTCATGAGCAACTTGTATGGTTATTGCTACATTTGAATAAATAACAAGCGGCAATCTCTTCATGGACAACTTGTATGTTATCAACACTTTAAAAAACAGCAAGCGGCAGTCTCTTCATGGACAACTTGTATGTTATCAACACTTTTAAAAACAGCAAGCGGCAGTCTCTTCATGGACAACTTGTATGTTTAAAAACAGCAAGCGGCGGTCTCTTCATGAGCAACTTGTATGGTTATTGCTACATTTGAAAAAACAACAAGCGGCGGTCTCTTCACGAGCAACTTGTATGTTATTATCACCTTTGAAAACGGCAAGTGGCGGTCTCTTCATGAGCAGCTTGTACAGAAAACGGCAAGTGGCAGCTTCTTCATGAGCAGCTTGTACGTTAGTATTTTTGAAAGACAGCAAGTGGCAGCTTATCTATTTGAGCAACTTGTGTGTTATTGTTCCCTTGAAAACGGCAAGTGGCAGTCTCTTCATGGGCAGCTTGTACGTTATTATTCTTCGAAGACGGCAAGTGGAAGCTTCTTTATGAGCAGCTTGTGGGTTTTTGGCAACAAGTGGCGGACTCTTCATGAGCAGCTTGTGTGCTTTAATATTCTTTGAAGACAGCAAGTGGCGGTCTCTTCATGAGCAGCTTGTATGTTATTGACACCTTTGAAAGGAAGCAAGTGGCGGCCTCTTTATTTGAGCAGCTTGTGTATCCCCAACAATAATGTCTACTCAGCAAATGGCATCCCTTCGGGAAGAATTCCATGGGGAAGTTTGTATTTTATTCTTTTCAAGCGATGTCTTGGTTAAGGAAGAAATGTGTTACTGTTCTTGGTAAAATTCAGAAATCAGAGATGTTTATCTCCAGCCACAGTGCTGATGTCAATCACTTTGTTTTCCAGCCACAGTGCTGATGTCAATCATTTTCCAGTCTCAGTACTGATGTCCATCATTTCCTTTTCCAGTCTCAGTACTGATGTCCATCATTTTCTTTTCCAGTCTCCATACTGATGTAAATCATTCAAGAGTCTCTCATTTGAAGTCTATGACTTTGTTTCCCCAGTGGAGTTACAACCTCTTCCTCTGTGGGATTATTGTATAATGTGCTTGGTTTCTCCAGCATAGTCTGTCTCATATGGCGTCATTCCCCATAAAATTCAGAGCATTACATTCATATCATATCATGAACATAATCGCGGTAGCTTAAGGCCAAAAATTGTGTATTCTATATTTAAGTCCCTTCAATCTCGTCGAAATGAAGACCCAATCTTCATATCTCCAGATAGAAGAAACTTAAATAGGGGCAGCTGTTGTACCCCAATTTTTGACCTAAGATTCCATTTTTATTTTTTGGATAAGTCAAGGTCACTAAATATAGTCGGTTTTAACCTCTCACCTTCGAACATTGGCTATGCAGAAATTGTCAAGTATTTTAAACATTCTTAGCCTATGTATCATTAACTCCTACTCCAGCATGTGTATTTCTCGTTTCTTTGTTTTCATTTGCAGGAAACAGATCTGAATCAAGAGCATCAGGCGTCACGCCTCAATTAGGGTTCAGAATCTCTCAAGCCAGAAGTACAGTTAATCGTTGGTTCGTGAAGACTGATTCATCAGGAGAATCGTGCGTTTATTTCCACGCCTTGTTCGAAAAGTGGTCTCAAGCTTCTCTACAACTCTCTCAGAGCGCAGACAAGATTTCATCATCACTAGTTCACATGTGCATCAAGATGCTTTGGAATGCAAAGAAAGATCAAGTTTGCAAGTCAATTCAAAGCACTTTGACCAAAAGTTAATACTTACACATCCAAGTTCAAACGATCGTAACTTTTATATTATTCAACATTTTTGAATGGTTACTTTTGCGCATAGTTCTCTTTGACGTCATCTCTAACCCCTCTTTACCAGTCAAGGTCTGATTATGTGCGGAGGATCATCAAAAGTTCGGATACTTTAGAGGTCACTTTGATGACTTTGGCCTAATCTCAAGTAACAATTACTCGACTTTCAAGGATCGTAACTATTTCGATTTTCATCATTTCGGGATGGTTCTTTTTGCAACATATCACAAATGACGTTGTCTACAAGATTGCTTCAAGGATCGACATCCAATTGCATTTAGAAGGCCATGAAATTCGTTTGAACATTTTAGACTTAGAATTGATTTTGTGTTGAGATTGTTCTCCACTAAGTCAAGGGTAAAGGCAAGATGTTGAGTTTGAGGATTCATTGATTATATATTGCTATAATACAAGTTGCTTGTATTCGAGCATTAGTAATTAGTGAATTAAAATTGGATATAGATCAAGTTTCTTTGTTTGTTCATCAAGATTCGGTTCATGATAAAAGGTTTAGGTGTTTTATTTAGAATGCATTTCAAGGTAAAAAAAAAACCATTCAAGGAATCCAAGTTCATTCAATTTTAAATTCAAGAGGTTATGAAAGACATTCAAGTCTTATTTGACTAAAATGTTATTCAATAATTATTTCAAGTCCAGACTTTATTCAAAGTTCAATTTCAATTCAAGTCTCATTTAATCATATTCAAATTCAAATTGTGCAAGATTCTTTCAAGGTTCTTTTCAAAAGTGATGCTCTGTATTAATTCAAGATTCATAATTTCAAATGCACCTTGCAAGTCGACATTCATTCAAGAGTTTTTATGGACATATCATGTTCAGTAAGAATCATTACAAACTCATTCAAGTTCAAAAGTCAAGAATGAATGTCATCTTAGCATACAAAGTTTCATCAAGATACCATGGTTCATCACCATGTTACAAAACAATCACGAAAATACATGGAAATCCTTAAGGTTTTTTCTTCTTTCTAATCTTCAAATTCCACATTTAAACTCTGCCTATCATATCCAAACCTTGCTTCAAAACCATCCATACTGTATGCTGCTCCAAACTCTGCATATCAGTCCAAACCTTGCTTCAAAATCATTCATACTGTATGCTGCTCCAAACTCTGCATATCAGTCCAAAAACAAGTCAAAAATTCTGCACAAATAATGCCAAAAAGCTCCTGTCAAACCTGTCCAAAAACAGTCTAAACTTTCACGAAAATAGGAAATGCAAATCCTGCATCAAAAAGGAAAAATCAGCATATCACATTTTGTCCAAAACTCACTAGAATTCCCCCCCCCCCCCCCCCAAAAAAAAACTCCCTCCAATTTCATCTCCCATCTTCTATAAAACAATGGGAGGGCAGTAGAGAAAAGAGAAGAGGAAATTTCACAAAAAACATCCAGAAACATACATAAAAGTTACACAGAAAACACCACCAATCCTCTCAAAATTCTGCCCAAGCACCACAAAAAAATTAGAGCTTCATATTTAAACTATAATGGCCTGAGTTAAACCTCCAGCTTTAACCCACAAATCCGTAACACAACCAACAACTACCACAACCACATCCGAAGATCAACAATACCTGCAAATTCAGAATAACAAAACAAGGTTCAACATATTCTGTCAATAAAATAAGCAGAAGACAAGAGGAAAACATGACCTAATGTTGAAACCTCGAAACAATAACCGCAATCCACGTGATTCAAAGTGATGTCAAAACAACTATCGACGTTGCAGTTTCTCCTTGATCGCCAAATACCATTTGCTCAGTAGCTCATTGTCTCATTTTCTGAACACCAACTTAGCATCTCGTTGTGGCCACTCTTCTTACCTGATGCATCTCAATCTAGCCAAGCAGCGACTCCTAGAGATATTGAGGATTTTGGCCGGTCTTTAAAACCAAACACTTTCTTGTGTCATAATTTCTCTACACTAAATCAAATTCAGTCCAGGAAAAATATGGAGTTCAATCCTATTGATCAAGATGTTAACAAATTCAAAGTATCAGATGATGTAGGGGATAGACAGTTTGATTCTAATCATGGACAACGGTCATACGGATACAATTACGCAGTTGAAGATGTTTTGGGTAATAATTCTGCAGTACCAGGTGATGGACGAGAAGCTAATGCATCTTCTGAGGAGGTGGTTGAATATGGTCAGAAAAATGCTGCTAATAGCAACAAGGTAACTTCTCTTAGAAATGATAATCTTACAATAAATGATTTGAGCAATATGGAACTTTTAAAATGGCAGAATGTTACCAATGTATGATGCACGCGCAATGACTCCAAAATCGCACCCAGCCGGAGATCTCCTCTGATTTCGTTCCAGATCCGCAACCGATACAACAAACATCCTCCTTCCGCTTTCAATTCACTATTTCCGCTCAAGCCTCCATAGAATCACAACTTCACCGTTCAATATCATCTCAAAATATCATCTTAGATTCGAATCTTAACCTTCTTCAAGCTCCTTCTCCGACTCAGCACAACCGCGGTTCCATCGACTCCTTCGCGTTTTCTCAAGCCTCCGCCTCACTTATCCCATCTTCATTCTACAACAGTGATACCCTTCAATACAACTCCTCTTCTTCAAACTTCCAACAACCTTTCATTCCCTTCTCTTTTGAACACTCCTCTCTTCTCTTCCTTTTCGCGTTTCGAACATTCCAGAACTTTCAAAGAACGGAGAACCGTGAGCGCCGTGAACATCACCAACGCCACCATCCCTTTAACTCCCTCTCCCTCCACGCATCGGCTTCCTTTCAATCCACCCCTTCCCAACACATCATGCAGCGCCGCTTTCCTCTTTTTCTTTTAGGTCTTTTCTTTTCCCAACCCAATTTGAGTGTTACAGGGCAACGGGTCTGGGCCTGACCGGGTTCGGCCCGGTTACAATCTTGTATGTTTATTTTATTTTTTTATTTATTTATGTTTATTACTCATGTCTTGGGCCTTATCCCAATTTTTTAAGCCCATCCGATTTTCATCTCATAAGCCCCTCAAGTTTGTGTTACACACCTCCTTTTATTGTTAATATGGTTTAGATTTTAATTAGTAATTTTACAAGGAATTTAGTTAAAACTTTGATTTAGTTTAGGTTCAATTTAATAATTCAAGAATTTTAATTTAGTAACTTTGAAATCAACTTAGTTTATATTAGACATGGTTTAGTAACTTTAGAATTAATTCAACTTAGATTAAATTTAGTAATTTTAGAATTTTAATAAATCTTAGAGCTTTAACTCAATTTAGGTGTAATTCAGAAATTTCGTAATCTTACTTTTTGTTTAGAATTAATTTAGTAATTTATATATCTTCTTTAGATAATTAGTTACCTTCTCTTTTGTTTTTTATCGTATTAGTCCTTTAGAATTAAATATTTCATTACTTTTCTTAATCTGTTCGTTTAAATTTATTTTCTTGCGAATTCTTGATTACTTATATTGTGATGTTCATCTTATTTTTTTGATTTGTTTGCTTCTAATCCAAGGGAAACGTTTTTAACTCTGTTGACTTCATGTTATCAAACACATCTCATCCAATCGTGCGAATACCCTCATTCATCTTTTGTTTGTTTACTATTTTGTTAAACCTAAGATAATTTTCCCAAAAGACTCCATTTTTAAACTCACACCTTTTAAGTCAAAACTTCGGCATTAGGTCGTCGTATCTTCAAAAACTCTTCCACACCGATTTTTAGCCAAACGAACCATTTTAATCAAACAAACAATTTTAACCAAAAACAGATATTTCAAAAGGTTCCTGCGGAGTACCGCAGATGCATTGGGTGCTAATACCTTCCCATTGTATAACCAACCCCCGAACTCTCGATCTCTTTCAAAAACGCATCGTATTTTATTACTTTTAAGTATTATTTTACATTGCATATCTTAGGGTTTTATTTCGCTCTTTTCCCTTTTCCCTTGGAAACAATAAAGCGCGGTGGCGACTCTTGCTTTTGTGAGTCAAGTTAATTAATAGCTAGATCTCCGATTTTCACCGCTACACAAGGCACAAAAATGCTTCATTTAAGAGATATGGGCCAAAACATTACAGGTCATTTTAAAAGTCAACAGAAAGACACTTTTTGTCAAACCAATTTGCCTCAATATAACGTCTTCAAATGGAAAAATTATCAACATGAGAGTTGTAGGGGACATTCTGAGATTTCCAAAAGGTCCCAGATCACCTTCATATAATAAAAATTGAGAGAGTTATGATTGGTGCAAGCTGGGATATTTTGAGAAAATGCATGAAATTCAATTTGAGCAAACTTGAATGTTTGGACAAATGGGCTTATATTTTAGAGTCCAAATGTGTTTTTGACCTTATAATGGACTTCTAAATCTATTCATACACCCTTTTATTTTTTTATTAGATTTATTTTGATTTTATTTATTTAAAGTCCAAATTAAATCAAACAATATTAAAAGGAGATGTGAGGCATATGAGGCTTTTGGTTTTGTTATTTTGGAGGCCCATGACCAAGCTACAAATCGTGCATGTTTATTTTTCAATCAAATATCCATGCTTTTGTATTATTCCAACCTATTTCCAAACAAAATCAAAAGGTTGTTTGCAAGAGGTCCAAGCCCATGTGTTGACCTAATTTCTTCTCCTATATATACACTTCATCTTCAGACAAGAGAGGACATGAAAACCTTGCGAGAAAACATACCCTCCAAATCTCAATTTTTTTGTCAAACTACGGAAAATAGAAACCCTTATCTATAACCTTTATCAAAGCAATCTAGCCATCCAAATTGATTCCAGGGACAATAGAGATTAAGTTGGCATCATCCTTGATGATCAAAACAGCCTGAAACGAGCATCCATGCATCACCAATTTACATGATTTCTTGAATTTTGTATTTTAGTTTCTATCGTGCTTTTCTTCATACTAATGATACTAATGTGTTATTGAGGTATAAATATGCGGGTCTAAACCATCGCAAGAATCCCATGATGCCAGAATCATGCACTGCCATTCTTGAACCGACTTACAATATTTTATTTGTATTTCAATATGCATGGAGAATTAGCCAAAACTAAGGCCATCGTTGAACTCGCAAGGGTCAAATTAGGGGGTAGGGTCCCTTGGGATCATTAACACGCTCTATTTTGTAGGTTGAAGAAATTAGCTCGCCGAGGAAGACGACCGGAGCTAGGGCTCTGGCCCATTCATTTGTTTTCATTTTATATTTATTTGATTTCATTTTATCCGATGTAACAGCCACCTCAATAGCAAGAGCACGCGCGTTAAGGCATTGATCTATAAGGGCGTGAGTTCGATCTCTGCCTTTTGTAACTTTTTTTTATATTTTTCCAATTTCTGCAGGTTTTATATATTATGCAACGCGTCTGTATTCCTAACACCAAACAACGCTTGGCCTGGTGGTGAGCTATGCGTGGAAAGTGCTGAAGGGTGTGGGTTCAACACCCACCCCATACAACTATTTTTTCTCTATTTTTCACTAACCCTATTTTCTCCACTTTTCATTTATTTTCCCTTTCTTTTAATTAAACCCTAAATTTAATTAAAACCTAATTATATTTTTAAAAACAATTAATTAACCTAGTGATTTTTTCTAATACTATTAATTTAGGATTAGGTTTTGTTAACAATAAAAATTTTGACTTTTATTTTTTAATTAAAACTTTTTTTTAATGTTAAAATCAATTAGAGATTTAGGTTTTATTAAAATTATTTTCTAAAATACCAAAATATTTCTTTTCTCCAAATTTTTTCTATTTTCTTTCCTTTTTTCTATTTTAATTCTTAGATAAAAATGTATAGGTCGCATTATTTGTATTGTAATAACTTAGGTTTACTTCCCGAATTTTCCTATTTTTGTATATGCTCTGAGGTTGAAATAGTTATAGGTTAAAATTCTCGCAATCATCCATTATGTAATTTCCCCGAATCTATGTAATAGCGTAGGAATTTTACTTTTCACACATTTATATATCTGCTATATTTTATGTTGTTAGAAAATAGGCGTGTATGGCAATACTAAAAAACAACCGATAGCAAACCCTAATCTCAAGATAAAATAACTGAATTGAACACACTATTTACACTCGCACCTCTAGGGTAACCTCCTTGTTAACTTCGGAAACATGGTCACGTCCCTCGAAAGTAGGGATACTTTAGCAAAAGACCCTTAATCAAATCATCATGTCCCTTTCGAATAAAGATCACAGTCCCTCGATGACCCTTCGAAGTTTCCTACAAAATGATCTAGTCCCTACGAGTAAATGATGATAGTCCCTCTGATACAATTGCTAAAGTATCCTTACATGTTTCCTTTGATGACCATACGATGACCCCGCACCTGTCCTTTCACATCCAATAGATAGGGATACCTACCAATTAATGGTATGTATATCACTATCTCTAAAGGAGAAGAAAAAGAATAAGAACGACCTTTGGTGGTTAAGGAACTCTTAATCTCTTGCTCAAAATTTTTCTAAAAGACATTTTTTACACATCACACTTTCAAACAAAATATTTTCAAACACTTTGTACGCATTCTTGAGGACTGATACAAGAATCATTACAAAGTCAACCTTACATTGGCAATTTCAAAATATTTTCAAATCACACACACACACACAAAGCAATCTTTTCAAAAGTGATTTAGCAACTAAGAGCCCATAGATAACTACGGATGAAAAGGGTGCTAACACCTTCCCTTTTTATAACTTACCCCCCGAACTCAAAAGTCTATTAAGGTCTTTCATGTTTTTTTCACCTTTCCTAAATATTGGATAAAAGAAAAGTCAATGGCGACTCTTGCTATCCGTACATTTGGATAAAACCAAAAAAGTTAGTTCTTCCATCGTATTATAGAACTGACGACTCTGCTGGGGACATACTTAAAAAAGAAGGGTTACCTTAGGGTTAGATCATTTTTACTTGCTTTACTATTTTATTTGCTTGCTTTTAGTTTAAGGGTTGCTTGGGATTATTGCTTGTAAGATCCTACACCCAGATCTAGGGATTCCTTAGGTAAGTAGCAATAGATCATGAAAATTGTACGACATAGACTGATATGGTTAAAGTGATGGCTACGGCTAGTGCGACACTTTGGATTGTACTAATGTTCCTTGAGTCATTCGAGGATAACATTAGGCTTCCGCGTGGTGTCATTAGCACTAACTGACTTTTAGAACCTTAATTGACTCATCTTGGCCATTAGAAGGTAGTGAGATGGCCGACTTTGGTGCAGTCTAAGGTTGGTTGATACTCTATGCTACACTCATTGAGATACGACTCGCGAGATGTTTTGGTGGCAATTGAGTTGTTGTACTAAAATAAAACCTTCGAGAATGATCCGTGATATGAGATCTCTAGAACCCGGTTACTATTTTAGGGCAGGTTGAGCCAACTTAACTTCAATAGAGAAAGGTACTTACCTATGGAACTCATGCAAGCCTTTAAGCCTGAGGCTCTTGTTTGATTTGTTTGTGTTTGCTTCTCGTTTAAACATAAACATAACATCATGACATCATAACATATGACATGGCATTCTTTCTAACCATTTCAAGGATCTTAGGGATCTTTGGTGTAGGATTATCATGAGCCAGATTGCTAGCAAAGGGCAGGAGGATTTATTTTCCTCTAACCAGATGTCGTCAAAGATCAAAGTACGTTCTTTTGAGTCAGAGGCTAGGACCCACTCGATATGGTGAGCTTGATTCTATTAGAAGGACGTTCAAATATGGAAGCACAAAGTTCTCCAAGATAAAGCTGCAAGCAAATTTCTCTTTCCAATATTTTTTATCCCATAAGATCCTTGAAAACATTACATTTGCATCTACATATCATACATCTCATTACATAACAGGTACTTTCAAGACAGGTTTTCTCA